TGGCGGTGCTGTGCGGTGACGAGCGGTGAGCGGTGGGAGGTGCACCCACTTCCTGAGCGTAGTACAATGGTCGATGGGAGAATGCATAACAATTAACATGCAAGTTACTTTACTTATAAGAAATTGTAGAGTAGAACTCCATGTCAGGTAAAGTGATGAGCTCAGATACATCAAAGCGCTACCAACGGATCAACAGGCAACGTTAGCACTTAGCAGTCATTACGGGCAGTTCAATCCTCTTTGACGCCGGTGGAATCCACCAAGCGCCGGTTCGACCGTGCCAGGTGTAGGCAGCAGCGTGAGAGCCCGCCTCTTCCCTCCCCGCCCCGGCCCGGCGACCTATAATTAGCCCCCGGTATTGACACGAGTGCAGGCGACGGCAGTCAGCTGGCGACGGCTCCACGTCACAATCAGCTGACGGCGGAGACGAGGCCCGACCCTGACACTGGGGAGGCTCGAGGGACAACCGAGAGGGACCTCCCGGCACAGGACGTCACAGGGCAGCCGTCACTCAACGGAGGCAGAGATGATGACACCGCTCTGATTATGACTCATATAACAAACACTTGACTTGACGGCTATGAAAGCTTTCCCACATGATATGCAGCTGATGTCACCATGAAAGTCAGCTTGCTATCATCGCCACTGCTGCTCCAGACTAGAACAGCTGTCACTTCAACTCCAATATCCTTCAAAAGCTGAGATTTGAGAATGCGGGACACTCGCCATCCATAAGTCCTCACAGAGTAGCAGCAACTAAGAAAGTAGAAACCATCCGATTGAGCCCAAATTGAACAATATCAATGCGCCATAGTTGGCTGCTGGGATCTCTCAGTACCTACACTGTCCCTCAGAAACGAACGAACGAAGAAGGGGAACGGTCGGCGCGGCGGCCGTTCCGGTGCCAGCCTGTGCCGCTCGACCGTGTCATCTTCTGGCCATCCGTCAGCTGACGGGCGGATGTGACACCGGAGCCGGCACCGCGGTCGTGTCAGCGGTGTCACTGACACGGCCATGTCACCGTGTCAGCGGTGTCACTGACACCGGCCGCCCGCGGTCCGGCAGGCCGCTGCTGATAGCCCGGGCAGCTGGTGAGGGGAACAGCCGGCGGGGACGAGTTTGAGCGTCCTTGGGGCAGGTGCTGGGGCCGACTGCAGGCACCAGCTGCCGCGCGGCGTCTCCGCCCTCCTCTGGACATACACCGGCGGCCGCAGGTAACATAATGAATACCCTCCAACCCCGGCTAATCCAGGTCCACTTAAAAACGACCATCGTCATACCACCTACCCACACCAGACACCAAAACGTCGAGTCCAAGCATCACCGTCCCACCGCGTTGGATCGGTAGGAGTAGCTCTGTCGCGTCCGCTCCAAACCGGCGTCAGTCAGCTCCATACCAGCGCCCAAGGCCCATTTTGGGCGGTCGGACCGGCAGCTCGACCGTCGGGAAAGGCTCAACACGACACGTTCGCCTTGTGAGCGGCCGGCCGCGCCGGTCCTCCTTGAGCCTGCACAGAGCCGGCCTCTGTGCACCCTGGGCCTCCAACGGACGCCATAGTCGCCCCATCGCGCCGCCCGGCCCCTCCTCGGCCGGCCACAGGCCCCCGCCCGTCAGCGAACCTGCACGAAACAGCAGTCAACCGACACAAAAGACGACTTACGGAGCAAGTAGTCGGCTACTCCAGTCGTGCAGCGACGATACGGCCCGAAACCACGACGTCAGCTCGCGTAAAAATCGTCAATTTTTCATAAAAACGACGCGATCACACGGCATACACAGCCGTACAATTCCGCGCGCTGCGGGTGCCGTCAGCGTGAATTCATGCGCTCTCATGCCGGGCTCTTCCGGTTCCCGCGGCCGGCCACGACTACGACCCCGTGGGCCGGAGTGAGTGGACTCTCCGTACCGTGCTGGACCGGGGCCATTGTTATCCGAGCAGTTGTACTGGTTCTGCACGCCCCCCCCCCCCCTCCTCAGAGAAGGGGGGGGGCGCTGGACACAGTCCATCTGCAGCCTGGAGCAGTGTGGCGGCCTGGACGGGCGGACAGCGGCGGCATGACGGGCGCGGCCCCGCTCAGCCGCGCAGCCAGTCACTCGCCAACGCCCCAGAACCGATCGGCTCACCAGTTGGTGGTGACTCGGCAGATGGTGGCTGGGACCGCTGGTGATTGGTGACAATCTACGGTATTGATTCCCGATGACAGAGGTTATCCCAAAAGAACCACGTTACTAGGGCCCTGACACGGAAAAGAAGGCTGTTTGATCACGAACAGACGGCAGTGTCCATTAGTAAAGCAGCTTCGGTTCGTGCCGACGTCAAGTCCAAAAACAGCGACTGAATCGATGGTTGAGGCCAGCCACCGCGCCGGCGATACGGTTCTCAGAAGCTGCCAGCAACACTGCTAGATACAAACAAGTCTACGCTGCAGAAATTCAAACAAGTCAACGTTGCACGAATTCAAACAAGCCAAGATCCATCAGTTCTGCTTAGAGAGTGAAGGTCAACATAATTTAAATTGTAGTCGATCTATTTACATCCCTCCTGCCGAGCCAGAAGTTGAGCGTCACCACACGGATGCAACGTCCAGTGCAGTGGTCGAAACGCGGCATATCTCCTAGCTCTCCCAGTGACGTCATAAGCAGAAGCGACGTCACAGAAGCGTGACCTCCGCCGCCATCTTCCAGTTCACCCGGCAGGAGCGGAGAGCAACCGGCAGGCTCCAAACGGGACGAGTTTCCGAGAAGCCGTCCGCGAATAGCATCCCGGCCGGAGCGGCCGAGGCGAGGCGAGGCGATCCGCTCTTATCCTTAGCGGGCGCCGTGTCAGCCGAGCCGCTGATCCAATCTGCCGTGATCAGAGTCGATTGCCGGTCCGCGGCGGCTCACGCGCCTCCCTCCCCGGCGCCCCTGCCCTGCACGCACGTCTGGGGGCGACGCAGCGCGATAAGCGAGCTGCCAACCGAACTAGGCCGAGGCCTGCGCTCGGGTCGCCCGGTCCGCAGATCCAGCTGGGGTCGTAGGAGGCGAGGGGAGGGGGAAGGGGGGCGTCGCGTGCAGACCGACTGCCAACCGACCGACCGGCGGGCGCGGCACGGCGGCCGGCGTACTACGCAGTACGACCAGTTCATGTCAGGACGCCGCGGTTGCCGGCCGGACGAACCCGACCCGCCGCACCACCAGAATACACAGGATGCAACCGAGACGTGGGCTGCAGCCGCCTCAGACCAGCGAGCCAACTGCAATCACAGAACGCTTCAACTACAGCGGAATGATATAAACAATTTACTTTCGTTGATGGTAAGAATGAAATAAAGCAACTATTAGACACTCATCCAAGACCTGAGGCCTAACATCATATCAGTTATCATGAAAGCCCCATGCACATTGCATACTTGATAAGTGCATTTGAATATCGCACAAAGAAAAAAGTGACGAGAAGTTGACTCATCATGACGCACTCCAGATAAAGAACAACGACCGAACGATGGCTGATGTCCTTGAGCAGTCGCTCACCAGTTCGCCTCACAATGCGGTTCGACAACCACACTCCCGCCCGCACGCCTGTTTTCGGCTGCAGGGAGCCGGTCGATGGCCCGGTGGGGCAATAGTGAAAGAAGCGAGAGCGAGCTGTGCGGGAGGCGGGAGAAGGGAGCGGCGGTGCGGCGACTTCCGCACGCACCCCATCATCACCGGCATCCCGCGTGACGCGATGACGCTCGCGCTGACACGCATCCTCCGCCCGAGAGAACAGAGGCACTGCCGCCGTGTCGGCAAACAACCAGCGGATGCGGGGTTACGAAACCGGTCCGCCGCCGCCTCCACCGCGCCGGCACGCACTGTCACAGGCGCCCTTTCAGAGCGGGTCGCTCGCTCTTCGGTCGCCGTGCGACCAGAGTCACTCAATGCGTGGTTTCGTGTTTCGCACCTGGGCTCAGTTCGCTCGACGCCAGTCCCGCATGCCACCATTGTAGGTTGATGACCCGGGGCCACTCATTAGCCTGAAATTACGCAAATGACGCCCAGTATTATGCGTGTATGGCGCTATTATCTTTGCAGGCTTCAGCGCCGGGTGCCCTCATCCATTTCCAGGCCGTAGATACTATCTACCCATGACGTTTCCGTAAAATATTTGCGAAATTAATGACGTATGGCTTCCTGGCATTCCATTATTTCGTTTGTTATCTCCCAGCATCTCACGATGCGCATGAAACGCCCATAGTACGCAGAGCCTTCCGCAAGGTCCAGGGTCGTGGAGACGCCACTCGTAAGGGTTGAGGCGGGGCAGTTGCAGCTGGGGAGGGGCAGTAGTGAGGGTGGGGTGGGGGGTGGGGGGCAGAGGGCAGGGTGCGGCGGCCATATCGCTCCACGGAGCTCGCCGTCGTGCCCCACCTGTCAGTCACATGCCAGCCGAGCACCGCTGGCCACCCGGCGCTGGCCGCCCGGTGGTATTACTGGGTATATGGGTGAGCAGAGAGGAGGGAGGGAGAGAGGGAGGGAGGGAGGGAGGCGGGGCACTTGGGCAGGCACGGCCAGTCGCCGCTGCGCTGCCCGGCTCCGTCTCCGCCGCGTCGGCGAGCGTCCGGCGGCAAACAAAGGAGCTGGCGACGGCCGCAGCGTCGGCGCAACCCCCCCCCCCCCTCTTCCCCGTCCGGCCCCAGTCAGCTGACCCGCCATGTGCTCGACGATCAATAGCGGCCGGCCGCCTCAGTCAACAAAGGAGCTCGGCGGCCGGCCGGCGCACACGCAGGGCGGTCCCCCCCAGGACCGCCCCCCACCCGGGCCCCACCGGCACCCGCCCACCGCCCACCCCGGGTATGGCCGACATACAGCAGAGACAAATCTACCATCGGGAGAACCAACACCAAGAAACTGACAAACCTTATAGAAGCTCTTACAAGTACACTACGATCGGTAGCATTTAGGGACAGTATGCTTACTGCATACTAGGCAAGGAAATCACTAAGACTGAAGGCATCAGTAACAAGTTGTTCAGACTTACCGGTTTTTCTCCAGCTCATTGTGGGTTGACCTGGAAAATAATTACCAGTCAATTTTACCACACAGCTAGACAATGACAGGATTGTCACCAGTTCTCCTTTGAATTGGATAACAGCTTAACATCGACACTAGCATCATATTTTCACCAGAAGTCCAGCAAGAAAGGCTCACCTGCTTCCAGCACCCTTCCTTGACTTCATATGCCTCTTGGTGACATGCTTAGATGATTCAATGATGATAGGCACAGTTGAGGCATAGCCATGCTCAGCTTCTGAAAAAAAAATAAGAAATTTGTTAGTACCTACCCCAATCAAAATAGCTTAGAGCAGGCCAGGTGATTTGAGGTATTGCACAAGAGAACCTGACACTGACACTGTAGTTAGATAAACTAGTTACAACAAACATACCTGCACTGAAATCGAGGTAAATGACAATTCACAGTTCTTAAAATTAAGCAACTATCACACTAACCCTAACCAAATTATTTTTTATTTGAAACTTACATCTTCTGAAGCATCTTCCTTATTTCATGCTACACTTTAAAATATTACAATAGGTTGTCATGACCAACTGGATAGGTACACATTTTTCAGACAACAATCAAAAAGCTCAATGTTAATGAAAATAATATCTGTAATAACATATTACATGGGATACCTACCCACCAGTTCACACTTCAGGCCATCTAAAAAATAGTCATGTCTACTACAATTATTGTCCTCGCATATATGTGCGGATAAGAAACAAACATGGCACAATCAGCAATCCCTAAATTAAAATTAAATAGCAAAAGAATATCATAAAAATCCAGTACACCTTTTGGCTTTTGTTGATCTTGAACTGATAGCATACTGAAAAAGCATTGGTCCCAAACCAGTCTCACAAAATCATCTACCACAATAAGGAATGTCAATTGTAGGCTTTCAAGCTCAACCAGTGCTTGAAAATGCTGGCCGAGCAGAGACAGAGCATGCTTAAATATTCCACACATTGTCAAGAACCAAAAAAGAAATGGTTATTGAAACATCCTAGCAAAGGTAAAGCAACGCAACAAAGAATCATAGGAATCGACAGCACACCCACCTCTCTCCCTCCTCTCCAAGTATTCAGCAGCCTCAATAAGAGCTTCAATAGACATTCTTGTTTTCTACTTTATCTACCGTTTAACTTCGTAACAACAATTTTCGCCACCTACAACGGACGAAATAACAAGTTGGCCCCGCCCAAGCTTTCCTCCGATCCTTCCGCTTCCAACACCAAGCAAACACAGCACGCTCCAAACACAGAAGGCCTTCTACTGCTATTCAAGGTGGCTGAAATAGATAGGGTTTAGCTGGAACAAAGACGCTTCAAACTCTGCTTTAAGTCGCCAATTGATGACGTCAATATATATTTTAAAAGCAAAAATCTTATGTTTTGCATTATAAACACTAATTAAACAAATATTTGAAAATAATAATATCATTGTCGATCAGCAAAAATAAATAAAATGGTTAATTAAGATGAAAAATAAATATACGTCAAAAGGATAAAGTCACTTTCATCTCTTTAGTGGAATCTGATGACCTGTTTTCCTATTTTTGGGCTGAAAAGAAGCGAAATAAAATAACAGGTTTAAAGGAATTTGATGACGTCAATACTAAATAATCTGCATACATATATTTTTAATACATTTTTTAAAGCAATTTGCTCTGATTTTACAATTTCAAATTTTTACAATAAAATTTTTTTTTCTTTTCATTTGTACCACATAAACAAAAACAATCAAAACGTCACATGTTTAGGCAATGAACTCTTCCTTCAAGGAGAACCAGAAACCCACAATGACCTTGAGATCAGCTGTTCGATGTAAACACTCAATGGTGATGAACACGTGAGGGGGGTTGGCCGTTGGAGTATAAAATTAATGGTATAATTGGCCTTTTCATGGATGAAATGAGCAACATAGCTTCGGAATGTTGCGAGCCTTATGAAATTCATCTTGATTGCTTTGCAATTGGTGCTGTGTAAACACATTGTTCCAATATTTTGTGGCGGCAGTGCTGGCGCACCTCAATTCCTATACGCCTAATCCACTGTTAGGCTATAGAACTCAGTCTTTTGCGAGTTAGTGGAAGTAAGCTGACACTAAACCTGAACTTGGCCCTGTCCTTTGGACTGCAAAAGTGCAAAGGGTGGCAGAGTTCTCTATACTATACACCGATTACTGTGGGTGGCAGTAGTGCCAATCAGCCGCATCAGCTATGATGACAAGTCTTTGCCAACCTTATTCCTTGGCTGAGCATGTCCTATTGGACGACGGTGAAAACAGGGCGCCTGGGGCGATTTGATCATGGTTGGTGAAATTCACACGTGACGTTAAGCATGTAGAAGGCCCACGAAGGGGGAGAAGTTCCAAATGTCACGTGACTAATTTGCCCTCCGGCGCCCTGTTTTCACCGGCGTCCATCCTATTGGCCTGCACAGCAGCTCATCTTGATGTCATGCCAATGCTGAGGCCTGCTTTGCTCATGCTTAATCCACACCACACCAAGGTGAATCCTCATCACACAGCTCATATTGGCTGAGTGGCTCTGCAACAGCAAAATGTTCTTGAGATTGCCTTGCTTTACAGTCTGGACCCTGCCTAGATCTAGTACATATTTAAATTATTATAGAAAGCATAAGTGTTTTTATATAACCTTTTTACAAATTACAACCATGTTTAAATGCTGCCCTGCTTGGATATGTATAACATTTAAATTTGAACGTAGGCTGAGATTGAGCTGGTAAGGGCTTAACTGATTGTGAACTGAATTCTGGGCCCTGTTCGGTCGCTGTTTTTCTATCAGCTTGCTGTCGGTTTTCCCCATATAAGGAAGATATTGCTGGCGCAGCTTGGCCTCTCATTGGTCTAACGAATAGACCACTTGCATTCGACCAATGAGGAGCCAAGAAGCAGCAGCATGGTCGCAGCCTGCTGATAAATAAACGGGGTGCGAACAGAGCTAGGGCTAACTTCTTTTTTCATGCCAGCTGTAGTTGGCTATTCAGGAATGATGAATTCTGTTTGCTGGCAATTGATAGGGATGTGTAGGTGCTCATTTAAATGAATTCAAATTTCAAATTTGAATTAGTTTGACTTTGTTTGTATACTGCCGTCTGACGGAGCTGAAACTTAGAGCTAGATGCATCAAAATTGAAGAAGGGAGTTTCAATAAGCTTCTCAGTCTAAGGTGTTTGCTTGGTCAAAGCTTATGTTATGTGCTTACACATTTTCATCAGCATTCATGCAGTGAAACACTATAACAAATATCGTGAGGCAGAACCTACGCTGTGGGGTGCAATGGTGACATTGGTGGGGTGGGACTAAGGTTTTGTCTATATGATCTAGGAAACAAAGTCTGTCCAGTTTCCCCACATTATCTAACAGTACCACTTTTCAGCTCCTACTTGCGATGTGTGGCACACAAGGAGTCAATACTAGTCGTGCACTCTACAGGCACTTGCTGCGGGAAATCAAGAAGCTTCCGGCTGATGCCAGGCCGCATTACAGGCACCATGTGCGGCAGGGTTTTAACCAGCACAGAGATGAGACAGACCCAGAAAGGGTGCAGCAAATTATCAATCAAGCTGTGAAAGATGCCGTCTGGCTTGTTAATAAGGTGAGTTGGTGACTATGGTTTGAAGATGATTGTAGTGGCATGAAATAGAAAGTGCAAGCATTAAGGTGCTTCTTCTTTATTCTTTATGTTAATCTTACAATGCATCATATTTTTCACATCAGATGGCCTTTTTGACTGTCTGTTTGTCCAGCTGAGTGTCTATAATCGTGTCTATAATCGTAATCGTGTCTATTAAAGCTTTTAATCGTGTCAAATGCGTGCGGCAGATGCAGATTATTCTGTCTCCTCCTGTTCATCATCGACGCAATCCGTTATATCATGTTAATCATGGCCGTATTTCTGTTGTTGCAGTATTCAAGGAAGCCGTCGTGACGCGTGATACCCTGCTTGGTAAATGGACTCTTTGCTTGGTAAGAGTGCGCACATTTGTGAAAGTGTAGCCATGGTTGATAATTGGTTGTGCCATCTTTGCCTTTGGGGTTTGTTATTATAATAAAGTTTCTCTGGGTCTTCGTCAGATTTATTCCATCACGCTATTTACGGCATTTCTGTCGGTACCGAGGCTTCAAAAAAAAAAAAAACTTTCAGCATTGTCAGCATCGAAAACGTAATCTGCCACGAGACCTGCACCGTCACCCCATTCGCGATTTCCTTAGAATTCCTGTTCACTCTCAACTGGCGCATTGTGCTTCTCTAAATGATGCCTCGGTCTGCAGGGCGGTTGTTGGATGTTTGTCTTGTTGCGACATCTGTGTTTATAGTGTTTCTACTCCCCGCCAGGTGATTCTTTTTGTTGTTTTACCAGGCCATCGAGCTCATTAGAAATCGGAACTTGAGCTTGTATGCTGTGGATTTGGTCTGTTTTGTCGTGTGGCAGTACTCATTGCAGTTTTCGTAGCTGCAAATGCGTCCATTTTCGATTCTATCAGCTGAGTATGATAATATTTTGTACCCTGTGCCTCGAACCTTTCCTTCGTCGTTCGCGCTGAATACCCACAGGTACCGTAGGTATGTAGGTCTGACTCGTGCCAGTCGGATATAATATTGTGTGATGTGTGGACATGGCTATATAATAGACTGCTTTGAGGAAGGTTGGATAGAACAGCGCGTTTGTGCATAGGTATATGTCGGGTAGGGTGGGGGTGGGGGGGGGGGGCGGCGGAATGGCTGCAGCTCTAAAAGTATGTTTTGTCTCACTTTAACACAATCGCGATGATACGATTTATTAACAAATTGCATATTTACAAGCTCAAACACACGTTTACTTTTACTAGCATGTGACCGTAATGTATGTGTTTCACTGTGCGATCTTGGTCATACATGTGGTTCTGGGCACTGGGTATCAGGTTCACTATTGCTCTGCCGTCGGGCAACACAACAAAATATTGCAAACATGTTACAACGCTGCAAACGACCGCCTCTATACACGGTCGCGACTTGCAGCATGCGTAAATTAAGTGGCTGGAAATACTTTCACTCTGCATACGCACTATAAATAAGACAAACAAACGACGATTTACAGGTCACTGAAGTTCATAAAGTTGGCTAAACAATTCACTTCCGGACTTTTTAAGTAAAAGTACGCGCGACAAAGCTCATATTCATGCCTCGTTAGTTTTGTTCACGTCTCTCATACTGTTACATTGGAACTAAATGTGTTTGATGCAACTCAGTTTGTCGACATCAACTGTTGTTCTGTCTTAATCGGGTCAGTTCAGAGTCATTACTGTGGAGACTTGAAGCGAGCTAACTTCGCTTGCAGTTTGTACAGATAAACAGGATAAGACAATTACAACGTTGTGCTGCTGGGAAATTACTGAGCAGCAGATACATGATTAGTATAGTTTAAGCAATGTTAGCAATAAGTACAAGAAATCAACTCAACAACTTAACCTATCATGTTATCAACACCCTCACTCGACCTCTCATCGAGGTGCATCATAAACAGTCTGATGCTGCATTTTGTCGAGCCAGGCAGCGATGCTCCGGCGAGTCTATTCCACTCGCTAGCGAGTTCATTCCGCGCTCATCTGGTCCAGGGAGCTCTGTCAGCCGGCCAGCTCAGCTCTCACCACACAGTGCTGCCTCTCGCTCTCGCTGAAACACCAGCCGCTCGAGCTTGGCGATCCCGCTCCGGTGGCGCCCTCCCGTGGCCACACCAAGAGCGCTGGCCAGCAGCCGCCCGGCAGTCGGCTGGATGGTGGCGCCACTGGCGACGGAAGCCGGAACCTCAGTCTGCGAATCCCGGCCGGTAGACGGCGCTGAGGTCGAGTCGCGGCTGTTCGCCGAAGGGCTGCCGGTTTCGCCATCGGAGCTGGGGGCCGGGGACGGGCTCTTTACGGCAGGAGTGGAGTCTTTGCCGTTCTGCTCCACGTGGCTGGCTTGGTTCTGCGGTCCACTGGTGGCATCCAGAGCAGAAGGGGAAGGGCTGCTCGCCTTGCCCTCAGAAAGAATAACTGCAGCCGGACTGCCATTGGACTTATCGCTTCCCTCAGTCGCCACTGCAGTCTGCTCTTCTTCAGCCGCTGTGTTCAGCACCACGGTCGGTTTCTCGATGTTCGTCACAACTGTTGACTGTTTGCACTCAGCGTTGTCCCTCGGGCTGACTGCCTTACTAACAGGGGAGACTTTCAGACCCTCAGCAGGCGCCTTGGTGTCACTCGCAAAGTCTGACGGAGTGTCGGCGGCGCCCGACTGTTTAGCTGCGGCCGCCTTCAGAGCAGCCGCCTCCAGCTCGGCCTTCTTCCACTTGGTGCGGCGGTTTTGGAACCAGATCTTCACCTGTGGGCGAAAACAGAGCAGAGTTAGCACCAAACCGGGTGGCATCGGTCGCACGGGTATTAAATCCATCCGGGCCTGCAACTACGTCGTTGGAAGGATGAGGCTGTTTTTCTTGCATCAACAGGTATTTGTAAGGATCTACGGATACTGAAAACAGGAGAAATTAGGATAACTCTAAACAATTCTTGAAATTATGTCATCACCTTACATAACACAATTATACGGGTCGCAGGACGGCTTTTATAGACGTTCCCATAGCCGGGACGAGTTGCCAGATTTGGGTGAGAGCACCTGGCATCGTGCGAGTAGCGGACGTGGGAAACGGTGGTGCGTGACCGCCGTCAGCGACCGCCGGCACGAGCGCGTGTGGCCGTATCAGGAAGCCAGGGGCCGAGCGGAACGGTCGAGCAGGTCTATGACCCCGCGCAGTGCGGGATTTGTGAACTGGGCCGCCGCTCGCGTAAACGAGATCTACACGCTCTGGCGTGTTGCAAACAGTGGTGGTTTTGTAATGAGCGTACGTTGCCGTTCTCACGCCATGTTGGAAAGGACAATGCACTTAGTGTACGCTGAAGTCTTAAAGGGACCCTCCCACCTTAAAAAGTTAATGAATTGGCATAAATCATCAGAGTCGATAGGGACTACGCTGGTCCCACCCTGCAAGTAAAGGGAAGAAATTTCTTGAACACTATAAAGCTGCGGGGGTTGCGACCAGGATAAATGGTGGTTTCTGAGCCTGGCCGCAAACTTGGCTATCTCAACTCAAAACTAATGTTAAGGTGGGAGGGTCCCTTAAACACCGTACAGTTAACAGATACACGGTGATAACCACTGAAATTGGTAAACGCGTGATCAGGGCGAGGGCAAAACAATGATAGGATCTATTTTTGTCACAACATTCGCACAACTAGTATATTAAGACGCACCCGAGTCTTTCCTGTTTATCACCTCACTCATTATACTTCTTCAACTTCTCCCCGGAGATAAAGATCCAGCCCACTCCCCCTTCTAGCGTCACCTTAAAACGCCAATTAGACCACAGTTGACGGGGCGATTCGGCGAAATGTCTGACGCAGGCATCTGGGTCATGACGATCACCAGTTCCCGCTGGCCCATTGACGTAATGGCAGACGCGAGCCGGAACCGGGCTGGGGGGGGGGGGGCAGACATGACCGCTTGTCATAGCCGGGGCCACGATAGCTCCCACGGCTAACTATAGCCGCCTCTTTGACCTGGTGATGTTCCCGTTTTGAGAAATTATGTGGCCCGTTTTGGATTTAGAGTTGGCGGCTTCGCACGTTCGACTTGAGTCTTGGTTGAGTTTATGCCGCGTCTCGCAGGCTTGAATTTTCATAATGTGCTGGCCTATATTTGAGTTTAACCTTATGATTTAGGTACTGGACGTTTATAGGTACTATAGGTATTCCGGAGAACTTTCCATTCGCAAAATCGTAAATAAGTTCAAAACTGATAGAGTCATCGACCTAACCACAAAATAATGGATATACCTAAGCAATTACCCAGCACGAAATTCGCACGATTCTGTGTGCGTGCGACGTTTGTGACGTCTTCACTGCGTTATACAATGCTGGCTCTCACAATTTGTCATAGAAGCAGCTTGTGCGGCCACCCGGGTGAGACTAACGCCCGGAAATAGCTTCCGCTGCGGCGCGATCGGATGGACCGAGGCCATCGCTGCGTGCGTACAATTAACGCCCAGTGATTTGACCGAATGCCCAGAAGGAGATTCACAATGCTGTTGTAGTTCCTTCATTCTGCGCTTGGTCAGCCTCCAGCGGTCGTCTTTGACACCGCGGCCGACTCCGCGGCTGTGGGGCGCTCCGTCGCGGTGCGGTGACATCTCTAATGACCGTCTCATTCGGGGCGCTCTGTCGACCGTCAGCGGCGTCCCAAAATACACACGGACGGCCTGCCACGCGGACTCTCCCATCACGCCTTCGCTGTTCGTTTCGGCCTGCCAGCACTGCCTGCCAGAGCCGCGACAGAGGCGGGGGCGCTGGTAGTTGAACCGCTCTCCTCCGCGCCCTCCCGATATGTTCTCCACAACTGCAGAGTGCACCACTAATCAGCCGACAGAAGCAATTCGTGTCTGGCTGGCGGCCGGCGGCGGGCGGCGGCCCTCTCACTCGGGGTGGGACAGCTCGCTCGTCCTCCCTCCGTCGCCAGCGACGCTGCATCGTCGGCGGTGACGAGGTGCACGTTGCCATGGTGACGGCGCCGCCGCCGCCGCCGTCGGTCGCCGAGTGCGTGCGGTATGGGCGGCTGGTGGCGAGAGGCCTCGTTTCGTGCCCGCTGGCTCTTTGCTAGCACGGCTGTGTGCCAGCGGCAGCCGGCGGCCGTGACGGAACCGCAAGGCGAAACGGGATGGGAAGGAAGAGGGGGGAGGGAGAGAGTCCGCAGTGCACAACGAGACTCGGTGGAAATTGGCACACAACACGCTCCACAAAACTTATTTATTGCTTAAATTCGTAACTGGCTAAATGAAGCTAAAATGCCTGACTTAATTCACAACACATTCAACACGCACCTAAATAAACCCATGGGAAGGTGGCGATTGGATCACTAAAAATCAATTTCAACCCAACCTGTCCAGGAATACACACCTGTGTCTCCGTAACATCCAGCAGTTTGGCCATCTCTGTGCGCTCTGCGGAGCCGAGGTACTTTTTGATCTCGAACTGCCGCTCCAGCTCGAAGATCTGGTGACCGGTGAAGGTGGTGCGCGCCTTCTTCCGCTTGCCCTCCGGCTCGTCAGGGCCTCCCTTCCGCTTCTTCAGAGGCCGATCTGCGGGAGGAGTGACGATGAGTTAACAATGAACGGGGGAGTTACTACAGGTCGATGCACGGTGAAGTCATCGGGTTATTGATTCGATACTTTGGAGAGGTCAATTGCATGCCGCCAATATACAAGTTAAACATTGGTTTGACAGCATTCTGAATAAAGACGCAAAGTTACAGCTAAATCATGACAATTCAATTAGACCGATTCCACTCCAGTATCCATATTTGTCGATGCTGGACAAAGAGCCCGTCCAATCACCTCCCCACAGCCACGTCATATGTGATGCGACTCTGTACCGAGAAGCGCTCTGTTTCAGCGCCACTCGGACACGTTGCTAATGTTCAATGGCCTCATCGATCTCGGTGACGTCACATGGCCTCATTATGACGTCACAGCATGTCCCGAGTGACCTCGACTCGACTCGGCGCTGGCGCTGCATCCATAAAGTCGATTATCGGTACCTCAGCGCGTGACGAGGACAGCGAATGATCCCTGTCAGTCCATCAGCGTGATAGTGCTA